TGTCGAGCCGGTCGACCATGTGCATGTCCTACGTACATATATATATATATGTATATGTATACATATATATATATATATATATATATATATGTACATATGTACGTGTACGCACCAAATCCGGACTTCGATGCGTGCCTCCGACTCGTGACGCGTGTGTGCTCATCGTGACCACAAAAGGACTATATAATTTAGATAGCGTAATTGACTTTGACGATTACGATACGCACGCCCGCCGCCGACACTTTCGATCAAAGGACACTTTGGTTTGATCACCAATGTAAGTAAGTACATCATCGACCAAGTAAATAATCTTTCTGGTTTTATTATTATTATTTTTTTTTTTTCTATTTTTTCTTCCTTTTCAACCATTTCATCTACGTATATATTTGCAAAGATAATATATTTCATTAAAGTTACTTTTTTTTTTTTTAATCAAGAACGCACGACAAAACAACGTAAGTGGAAATATTTTGGATCAAAGTCAATTATTTTTTGTCGATTGGCTAAATAATCAGCCGATATCGTACCAGTTAGGCGCCCATACAAATCTTAATTTCAATCAATAAAACTTTCGAAAAGAGAATATCTTACTCTATCGTTAATATTTCCAATTACGATATATTTGGAAGGTAAAGTTTTCGCGAAAATATACAAATAAATTTGTATAAAAGTCACGTTCTAATGTGGAAAAAAACGGAGAAATAAAATGAAAAAAAAAAAAAAAAAATAAGAAAGAAATATTTAAATAAAAAAAGAAATAGGGAAAAAGAATTGGTGACCAAGAAAGGGCGTGTTTCGTTGTCCACCTTGAAAGATCATTAAAGACGAAGTTATCGAGTCGTAATCAGGGCTGAATTTCACGGTGCTTTTATTTTCTCCCTTGGCAGAACTTTTTGGAAGCCGCTAATTGAGTCATATCATTAGCATACGCCAACGTAAACCGCAATGTAAGCCTGACGTCTTCCGTGCGGCCCTACGATTATCCGGCTATGTTCCTTATTAAAAGCTCGTTATTACGCGCTTTTATATGCGTCGTTGAATCCACTTGTTTCCGGCACGATTCGTTTCTAGCGTTAAATTTTTCCCGGTCTTCTTCGAGGAATTAGAAACCTTTTTTGTTTATTCTCTTTATCCTTTTTCCCTTTTTTTTTTCTCTCTTTTTTTTATTTTCTCATCATTAATAAATTCATAACAATGAAAACGATCGTACACGTTGATATCTAAATCTTATCGAAAGAAAAATCATACTAACGTAACGATTATAGATTCATTTCATTGACGAGTAGAAAAAAAAAAAAAAAGAACAAAAAATCTTTTGCTAATCAAGCTCAGACTAATTAGTTTCACACGCTTACATATTTAAATACATTTAGATACGTACATATATGCATATTTGTGTGTGTGTGTGTGTGTGTGTGTACATTGAAATAGTATGGAACGTAGTCATCGAGTCTCGTTACGGTTTAAGTATCGAGCGTCAAGATCAAGAAGCGAGGAGCCAGTACGATAGAGAAAGGGGGAGACAGGTAGACCGAGAACAGAGGGTGGCAAATTAGAGGGCGGCGAAAATTGATAGGGCCATTGCGTCGGGCCATAGGCGTGGCTCGTGTCCGTCAAACGGACGCAACGTGCACTCGAGGTATCTACCGAATCGACTTGCCAGCACCTGAGACTCTCGTGCCTCTTCGACCCTACTGATACTGAATTATAGACCCTTATACCTTACTATAACAGAGAGCGTACCACGGTAGTAAGTACGAACTTCAAGCTCTCTAGAAAATTATCCCGTCTTACTTTGTGTGACCATCTTTAGATTAAACTATACCTACATTTATACGTATATATATATATATATATGTATATATATATATTAGGATGTAAGTCATTACTTTAAAAGAAAAAAAAAAAAAGAAAAAATTTATGTGAGCGCCATCGGCATCGTTCGCAAAGCAGCAAAGCAAAAGGAAAAGAAGCTTATCGCGTTGGCACTAGCTACCACGAGATAACGATTTCTTCAAGCATGCTCAAGCCAAAGGATAGATAGATAGATAGAGAGAGAAAGAGAGAGAGAGAAAGAGAGAGATAGAGAGAGAGAGAGAGAGAGAGAGAGAAAATCGAAAGAGAAAAATACGAATGAAAAGGATAGCCGGTCCGGGAGTGTAGTACAATTCTCTCTTCGTAGAATAATCCAAAGATTCTTCTTCTTGGGCTGATACGACTCTCGAATTTTAATAAAGGTCTTTGCCTGATTTTAAATTCTATTCTGAGGATCCTTTTTTAAAAAGAAAAGAAAAAAAAGTAAATCTGTATACCCTTTGACCTCGAAGTAATAGCGAAAGATGTATTTAGTTGAGCGTCTTTTTTTTTAATTACTTTCAAGATAAAAACAAAAATAAGAACATAAAAAAAGAAAAAAAAGGAGTGATAAAAGGGAGATCATTTAAGTATAATAATAAATGGGCGAGAAATTTGAAAGAATGACGAGCCGTCAAATCGAAGAAACGTTATCGCCGAATCCACTATGTAAAGACGAAAATTGTTTTGCGAATAGTTT